TGCTAACAGAGGCAGCAATACACAAAGCCCTAAAGATCGAGGAGGTCTGCGAGGCCGAATGCATGATCACCACCTTCCAAAACGCTTACTTCTACACTGACTCTTTCGACGATGCCAAACTCAAGCTAAGGTTTCATTGATAATCTAAATTTTTGTATACTCTTTTTCAAATTTTTAACCAATGCATAGCTCCCGAGCCAGCCATTTTTAATCATCTTCATTTTCATCCTCATCCTTCTTATGAAAATAATGATTATAAATATTGGTGGTAATATTATTATAAATATTATTCTACCAACTTTTATTTTTGATCTTCCCCCACTTTCAGAGAATTTGCCAGAACGTTGGAGAGGCCCTTCGATCTGGAGTACGACCCTTACACGCAGTGCACTAAGGTACTCCTACCTCACAGATCAGTGCTGAACAACCTGGCAATCATCCAGGATAAACTGTTCAACTTGTCGAAAGCTTTGAAAAAAATTCCCGCTTTCGCTTGAAAACGCGGCGAGGAAGGCCCTGGTTAAGGGGGAAGAGGCCCTAGCTTCATTAAGATTGGCCCTGGACCATTGAGAGTGAGACATGGTGGTATTGAAATGGGCCTTGCTAGGGTATCACGTCACACCTGGTGATTTTTTTAAATTTCTGTCGTGATTATTAATTAAGAGAAGAGAAAGAGATGGAGACGGAAAGGAAGAGACGGAGAGAAAGAGAGAGAGAAAGAGAGATGGAGTAATTTCAAGAGGAGAAGAGCAATGATGATTAAGAATGACCATCAGAACGATGGCGGACATGTGGTGATCGCAAGAACAACTTTGATGGTAACGATACAAACAATGCTCATGATGATGATGATGATGACGACGAAGATGATGATGGTGATAGTAATGATGATGGTGGTCATAGTGATGATAATGATGACGACGACGATGATGATTAATTAAGGATTCAGTTAAGTTATAACACGGTAGACAAGTTCGTTTTAATATAGTTTCGTTCACTATCCTTTAAAAGATCATCTGATAAGTAGGAATATAAGTTTAATTGACAATTATAGCAACAACAACAGCAACAACAACAACATTAATATTTACAATGATAAAATGGAAACACCTATGTTGATGGGAACATTCATCCTTTGATGACAATTTTATTGCAACATGCATCACGATTCGGCTATACGTAAAATACATACACACAAACAAAGTAGAGATGATGATGATGACAATGATGATGACGATGATTTTGAACTCATAGTGATTAAATTCACTTTTAAATTGCGATATCAAAGTCCTATATTGTAAATACGAGTGTAATTAAATTGTCTTAAAATATGGAATATATTATATTATTGCTACTATTTGATTTATACAAAGATATCACATGCATATACACATACACATACACACACGCACACATACATATGCACACACACATACACACACATTTTAGTTATTTTAAATCGTTATCTTATAAAAGAACAACTGCATGTTAGATAAGATTTAACTGAGAGAATAAACTCAAATCATTTCTTTATTAAAAAATAAGGCTTCTAAATATCAAAAATACAAACACAGACACAAACGCAGACAAACACACACACAGACAAATACACACACACAGACAAATACACACACACACACACACACAGACTAACACACGCAGAGTATATATGATCATATTTGAAGACACTTTGATTTATTATAGTAAAACAGAATGATACGTGAAACGACGCATTTTGATCTGAAATTCGTTGCAATGAACACTTCGTTTGGAGGATTTATAAAATAAATATATAATAATGACGAGGATAATAAAAAATATTATGTAAAATAAATATATAATAATAACGAGGATAATAAAAAATATTATATAAAAAAAATATATAATAATAACGAGGATAATAAAAAATATTATATTTGTAAATCGTGAGAAACATGCAAGAGGCGTAGTGCAATGCAATGAATAAACATGAGGTAAAAATGGAAAAAAAATAAAATAATATGATGGAAGATAAAATGGAAGAAGCACTCGTATATGGAGAGAAAGAAAATTAAATAGAGAGAGAGAGAGTGAGGAAAAGAGAGAGTGGAAGAGAGACATAGAGTGACAGAAAAAGAGGCAGAAACTGAGAAGAACACACACGCACCACGCATAAGCACACAAACTTCTCCTAAAAAAACAACCAAATCAAATCTTGAGAACCCGAAGAATCCAATCTGAAAAGTTGATGGGTAGAATGGAGCAGAGAAATATGGCAGTAGCAGCGCCGGTGCCAACGGGATAATAAGGATTGGGATTTCTATCCGTTACAGCCTGGTGCACAACCTCAAAAACCGGATTCAAATCCGCCTGACACTTTGTAGTTTTGGCTCGAAACTCTCTCTGGATCTTCTGGTAGAGGTCGCGGTCTTGTTCTGAGAGGTCAAGGTTGTTCGACTTGCGTTCTTCTTCCAGGAGGTTCCACTGCGTCTGGCATCTTTCGTCGAGATATGATCTGTCTAGACCAGCTGTGTTGTGTGTGTGCGCGCGCGTGTATATATACATATATATGTGTGTGTGTATGTAAGTGTGCGTGAATGTATGTGTGTGTACATACAAAATACGTGTGCGTATGTGCTAATTTTTAAGTGCCTGGGATAATTAGATTAGACTGAAAAAGCGAGTGGTTAAAATGAATATTAATGAATAAAGACATCAAACTGGCTGTAAAATAGATTACACACACACACAAACACACTCTCTCTCTCGCGCGCGTACTCACACACACACGCACACACACTCGCCCAAAAAATACAAACACACAAAAATATATATAGATAACACATCTACATTAACTACTACATTAGCAAACTGCCGTGTCTATGTGAGAAGTTAATTACGTGAGATTTACTGCAAATCATACAACGTCAAAAACAACGAGTGTTATACAATGACATTTACACAAACACACATACATTCATTCATACTTACGTAGGACACAAATACATTCAAACAAACTCGTGCATACACAAGTACATTCACATGCTTGTGTTATTTTCACAGCACGTTTCAAACTATTTAATATTATAATATTATATTATAGGTTATTGACCTGATATGAAATTTCACATTGAACAACTGACTAACCCATCAACTAATGACTTATTCACCCAACCAACCAACCAACCAACCAACAAACCAACCATCCAAACCATCCAATCAATCAACCAACCAACCAACCAACCAAACCAACCAACCAACCAACAAACCAACAAACCAACCAACCAGCCAACCAACCAGCCAACCAGCCAACCAACCAACCGACCGACCAACCAACCAACCAACCAACCAACCAACCAACCAGTAACAAAGCCAGATGGTTGAATAACGCATACTTTTACACCATCATCATATAATTCTTGCCTGAGACAGTCTGATATGGTATTCAGAGCTGATTTGCAAGCTGAATACCCGGACATATTTGGTAGGTGCATGCTAGCTAGGATGAATTGTGTGTATGTATGCATGTTTGTATGTATTTGTATGTATGCCTGTACGTGCGTGTCTGTTTTTCTTCTGTGTCTGGATGTATGTGTGAATGAATGCATGTACGTGTGCGTGTGTGAGTGCGTGCGTGCGTGTGTGTGTGTGTGAGGATAACAAAAAAATAAAAATAAAACCTGTAAGACTTGATATGTTAATGATTCGACCTTTGGATTTCTTCAACAACGGCAAACACCTCCTTGTTAGGTTCAGTGTGCCCAGTATATTGGCCTCTATATATCTCCTATAAACCTGTAAAATATTTTATTATTATTATTATTATTATTATTAATTAATTATTATTATTATTGTTGTTGTTGTTATAAAATAATAATAATAATTATACCTCGATTGGCATTAACTCAACACTAGCGATGTAATTGGTCACCGCTCCGTTATTTATAAGGGCCCATAATTCTAAATAAATTATGATAATAATATAAACTATTTTTAATATGTTATATTATATATTTATAATGGTATATAATAGTAATTAATATTTATAATGGTATATAATAATAATTATCATATCAATGTGTTACCAGTATCATTATAACTTGAATAAATCTCTCTCTCACTCTCTCTCTCTCTCTCTCTCTCTCTCTCTCTCTCTCTTCCTCTCTCTTTCTTACTCATTTTAAATAATTGTACGAGATAATATAACAAAAAATGTTAACCAGTGTCCAAGCTCCTGACAATCTTTTCTACTTCCTGATGGCATGACGATATGTCGGCCTCCAGGTTCAAATCCAACTTCAGCACCTTCAACCTTATTGTGAATAAAACTAAGAATATCTATTCATCTATAGCTATTATAATTTATTATAAGTACTTTCATTCATTCATTCGTTCATTCATACATTCATTCATTCATTCATTCTTTCATTCATTCATTCAACCACCTTTCTGAGCTGTAGGCTTTCAAAGCATTTGCACCAACACCATCTTCTTCCAATACACAAGCAACAACAATGTATCCCAGGGAATGAAATTTAGTGGCAAATAAGTATCCGAAACCACTGTCACAACCTTAAAATGGCGAAAATACTCTTATTAATATTATTAACAACTGCCAAGAAATTAAAATTTCAGCACATATTTTTGAGGTTTGGTGGCAAAAAAATCAAGTATGATAGAAGTTTCATTCAAAAACTTGCGATAATTTACATGAAATATTTAACTATTGATTATTTAAGAATTAATAAATCGATAAAATGAATCAGAATAAAGAAAAACCCGTAATGAAAATGATCCTCCTAGCATTTTCATTTTTAGACTTCGACGATTTCATCGCGCTATCAAGGGTAAACAGACGTTTGACAACCAAAACGAGCAAAACCAGTGCAACAGTTAATGACGATAACAAGTAAAAATACATTTCGATTTTTTCAAAATTTAAGATTTTAATGAAATTTTTCAGTTTTTCAAAATCATTTGCGACGGCTTCTTAAACGCATAAATCAAAGTGGCCTGTTAAGTTAGCACAGTAAGTTACACGTTTGTTTAAATGTGAAATGCGATGTAACAAAATTAATACCTACTATGTTCGCCCCAGGCACATACCATATACAAACACACACACATATATAGGATGAAATACACATACATACATATACATATATACATCTATGTATGTGTATGTTTATATATACATATACACATGTATGTTTATGTTCACGAACAATGATAGCATTCCTATCCTTGAAAAGGTAGTTAAATGGAACATAAATATAAACATAAAAAGCATGTACGTACCATTTCTACTAGTTTACTACTTCAACTACTACAACAACTACTACTACAACTACACTACTATTATTACTTAAATTACCACCATTTTTAATTATACTGTTACTACAACTGCTTTGTACTGCAACTCAACTTGTCCAGTTAATACTAGTCTGCTTCCATCACTACTTATATGTCAGTGTCACTGCCATTTCTAATGTTACTACTGCCACAGAGGCTACTGTTTGTTTGTTTGAACTAATTCTTGGGCAGTATTGTATTGTATTGTATTGTATTGTATTGTATTGCATTGTATTGCATTGTATCGTATCGTATTGTATTGTATCGTATCGAATTGTATCGAGTTTTACTAGAATTTTAGATTAAAAAAAACTGATAAAATAATTTAATTAACTAATTAATTGGAAATGGTTCATTAAATAAAAAGAATACTACCAATACTAACAACAAAAGCAACGACAATAATAACAAAAACGACAATAATAATAATAATAATAACAATAATAATAAAATTATTATGATTATTATTATTATTGTTGTTTGATCCACCAAACGTCTGAGGGCCATTGAGTCATATTAAGCCCTTCTAGGCTATTGCCGTTCAGAGAGCTCAACGGTCGAAAATTTCTTTTCTCAAAAAAACTAAAAAATCATTAATAATTTCATAATTATCTATAATAAAATTTAATATTGTTTATAATTTAAATAATAATTAGATGATAATATTAAGCTTTATTCATTGTTAAAACTCCTGTGATTATTATGACTGTTAGTTACAAATCGTTGTTATTTATATTGATTAATTGATTGATTTATCTATTTATAGCAGAACACTAAAATAATTATAACAACAATACGGGATTGTAATATATTTTAATCATGGAATCATATTTTATTTTTAAAAATAACCTCTTGAGCTTTATATTGCTGCTGCCTAAGTCACCGACTGCGAAATTTAAAATATTTTTTAAAAGTCATTCATTCATTCATTCATTCATTCGTTCGTTCGTTCGTTCGTTCGTTCGTTCATTCGTTCATTCATTCATTCACTCACTCATTCATTCATTCACAATTCGGACCTATGACAGGCTCCCATTCCATCATAACCAGAATGACATTGGTGTTGTCGAAGAAATAATCTCCAGTAACCAAAACCGACGACTCCATGGCTTGTATATCGACTTTCATCACAAGGGGTGTTGATTTTAGGCTTTGGGACGAGGAAAAGTTTGAGGTAAGAACTGAAATTAAGTCATCCAGTAAGAGTGAGTTGACGGTCACACTTGAGAGGTCGTGCGAATTCGATGGGCGGTCTTTTTCGCCCGAGTTCTTAGGCTGATTTGGTGTGTGTGTTTGTGTGTGTGTGTGTGTTATTGTATAGCTGTTGCTACTAATGATGAGTTAATTAGACTAATCAATTGATTAATAAATTAATCAATTGATCTATTTGTTGAGTGATTAATTGAGTGAAAGTTGAATTAACAGAATGAACATTAGTTATAATAATAATAATAATAATAATAATAATAATAATAATAATAATAATATCAATAATAACAATAATAATAATAACAATAATAATATAAATAAAAATAATAAACTTTATTATTCAAAATTATAGAAAACCAAAAAAAAAACAAGAAATTTTCTCACCACAACTCTGTTATCTCCTTGATTAGTCTTACTAACGTAAATGTTAACTAATTCTCTCTTAACCGCAAGAGCATTTTGTAGAAGCACCACATTATCAGTTAAGTTTTCTAACTCCAAAGCCCTGTGAATCCTCGTCAGGTGGTCAGTCGTGGGTTCAACTGCAAGAACAGGATGGCCTAACTTGGCGGCTAATAGCGTGTAGTAGCCGATGTTTGCCCCGATGTCGAGAAAAATTGATGTTGGGTTTTTTTTTAAGACCTGTGTGTGTGCGTGCGTGTGCGTGCGTGCGTGTGTGTAGGTGGTTCTTTCGTTCGTTCTTTCATTCGTTCATTTATACGTTCGCTCATTACCTAAATTTCATTTTAAAACAACGTTGCAAAACAACATGAATAAACATTAAAGTAACACATTTTAGAGGCTATTAATTTGATTTTAGAAGCAAAAATAATAAAACAACGATTCAAATCAAGAATTAATAGCAAAATATGAAGGGACATACGTCAATTAAACGCAGAGCCAGCCCTAACTCCCAAGATCCGTGACTAACCAGATCCTTACTGATGAAAACGTCCTTAT